GTTCAGAGCATTGTCTAAACACGAGTGTAAAACAGATAGCGAATAATGAGACGTCTTACTAACGACTGTTAGTCTTGCCAAATTCAGTCTAGAACGGCGGATTCGTACAGAAACTGAAGACATTTCATTAGTCCGCGTGCAACAAAATTTTCAATATATTCATCAAAACTTTTAAATAAAATTATTTGCATTAATACGAATCACGCCAAAACAAAGCCGATTACTTCATAAATACTGCGCCACTTTACTGGCTGTGAATAGTCACCGACTACCCATGGATGAACGAGTAAGTGCTGAACGGTAATGCGCCTACGGGGATTCGTATTCAACATTGCTTTTAGTAAACACCTGCTGTTATCAGACAGCCATGGGGGTTCCCTGTAGCGGCCAATCTACAAATACAAATACGAAGTGTACTACTGATCGGTTTAGGAAAAAAATAACGATTTCTCCACCTGGATCTTCTTGTACATCATCTGGAGGCTGTTGTCCTCAAATGGAAGAAAGCCGCAGAGCAAGGCGTAGAGCAGGACTCCTGCCGACCAGACGTCAGCCTTAAGGCAGGCATGGTGAGAAGAACCAAAACGCAATGAATATGAAAAAACACCTCGTTTCCAAAATAGGGGTCTCCTGCAATGAGCTCGGGTGCTGCATAAGCGGGACTTCCGCAGCACGTTTCGAGCATACCATTCACTCCTTTCTTAAATAAAATGAGAAATCGGTTAAAGAGTAAAATTTCAACAAAATATCAGTCTTTAACAATCTCCTGTCAGATTTTTGAATTTAGATGACTCAACTGTACAATTTCTTTGTAGTTTAAAGGACCGCTCAAGCAGACTAAGGCTCCATTAGATTTTAGCACCTGGAGTGCATTGGCGCAAAACCGCACCACTTTCCTGGGGAGAAAAAAAGCCTATCCGTAGGCTCGATTCGTCGTCATATATAACAGAAACTAACACTCATATTATGTGTTTGCCAACAAACTGTTAATTTTCGCACCCGCCAGTGGGAACAACAGTTCCTGTCATTTCCAAGGATTCAAACAACGATGCACAGTTTCCTTGCTTAAATAATCCAGGGGATCGCTTAAGCAGGCCAAGGCTTAATAGCACTTGCAGTGCATAGGCACAAAACAGCAAAATATTAACGCCCAAATGCAGCGTTTGCAGATACATACCGTCAACATATTAATGTCCAAATGGAAGGCAGTTCTAGCTGCCCGTGCCTCATATTTCCTCTAAGGCCTCATTTGAAAAGTCATCAGAAGCGACCCAGTTTCGAGGTCAGAAATTGCCAATGACTGTAATGCTACAAAGCACTGTCATTTCTACTGCGATCCAAAAATAGAGCCCAATGTCGAACTGTGAATCTACCAGCTTTAATAAAAACTTCTACTACCAACATTAGACTGTCACCCAGGCATACGTGAAAAACTCAAATTGTTAAGAGACGATGTCATCGATTTCAATTACAACATACTTCACTAATTCTGAAGAGAAATGGTATGCAAACGTCAACAGATGCTTACCTCGGGCTGGGCGCAAAGACCGAAGTCAATCAGCTTAACCTGAAGGTTTTCGGTCAATAGCAGGTTTTCCTTTAATGCTAAAAAATAAAGCATGGGGAGAATTAAACAAATTACGTACCGGTTTGAGGTCGCGATGAGCGTAACCCTGATCGTGAACGTAGGCGAGGGCGGAAACGATCTGTCGAAAAAAATGGCGGGCCTCCGGCTCTGGCAAGCGATCCTTTTTTATTATGTAGTCGAACAACTCGCCGCCGGAACAATACTGCAAGAATATTAGAAATAACATTTTTAAACTTTAATCACGAGCTTACTTCGACGATTAGGAAGTATCGTTCCTCAGATTCGATGATTTGGTACAATTTACAGATGTTCTGATGACAAAGAGTTTTCAAAGCATTTATTTCGCGCGTTATGCGTGGCAAGTCTTCCTAAATTCACAGAATTTTGAAACCGCAAGTCTAAATTAATGAGGCAAGCAGTGGCAGACATTCGATCGACGTTTAAAATTTTCACATATAATCGAAATTTAAAGCCGGGAATTTGCAAAGCAAAAAAAGAATTCGTTGTCACAGTCACCTTTAGGCGGAAACACACATGCAAAAAATGTAAGATACATTACATCTGATCATATCGATAATTAGATATTGTGTATGTCGAGATTGGACCATGTACAATTTACACTGTGATGCATATACGTGTCTGCACGATGCCAGTGCAAGAAAATTTAAAAGTGATAACTGCCTTACGGATAAACAAGAAAAAGCACTAGATCAAGATGGCACTGTGGCATCGTGCAAAGACGTCGACTTTTAACCAAGGAAGTGCCCGGTTAGAATCCGCTCAAGGAGCAGCATTAGTATTAAACGTGAATTCCAGGGAGCAAGGAATTAACCCCACCTTATTTCGGGACAACCAGCAGAGAAACGTCTAGTACTTCTGATGATTTGCGAATTACAGGGGCAGCATGGAATTCTGGTCTGATCATACCAAAACGGACGACCTGTGCAGCCATACCTTCCAAAGCGAGCAACCCTTGTAGCAGCGCCTCGCCTTGACCCACCTGGTAGTTGACTACTAGGGTAAAAATAAGGAGTAGGTGTAACTCCCGGCGGTGTGCTTTTTCTTTTCCAATAAACACAAGAAGAGTCAATGAACGTGTCCTATTCACCTCAGTAACTAGGAATGTAATTGTCATCCTTCTTTAGAGGGCACGATCCATCGCGAGTCTTGCCTCACCACCTTATGACTGTCCATTTACATCTGGTGGCAGTTTTCAGACGTAAATATAGCACACAGCTGCTATGGATTCTGCCTTTAAAAAAGGCTCTGGTTGATGGAGCACAGAAAAGATCAACGCCGCACCAAAAGCTTCATGAAATGAATAACGCCACAAATGACGATTACGGACATGCCGACGGTTACAAATTTTCCTTTTATTCTTGATTAA